CACTTCCTTCCAGTATTGAATGCTACTTTTTATTCTGTTAGTACATATGTCAAGAATTTGTTGCTCACAAACCACGTGACAAAATTGTTTTTGTTAGGGATCTACATAACTTCAGTCATGTGTAAAAAAAAAAAACAACCCTGTTTTATAAAATTTGGTAGAAGAATTTAAAAGGATGTATATTGTATTATCTCACGTTAGGTTAGAGAGTTTCTCATTAGGTACCACAGACAATATCCCACGCTAAAAGTTCCCTAAAATTCTTTTTCTGCACATAGTGCTCTGACATTACCTTATTACCTTATTTTGGGCTTACGTACTAAGTAGAATGGGCTAAATAAAATGTACTGCATAGTATAGCAGTTGCATAAAACACTATTTCTTATGTGGTTTAATCCATCAGGCAGGTCAGTACTATACCATCACTTGCTAATTCCCCTCTTCCATTGGCATGGGAAGGAGAATTGGGGAGGAAAAAAAAACAAACATAGAATTCATGTGTTGACATAAAAACAATTTACTAAAACAGAAAAGAAAGTAAAAAAGAAAATAATAATAGTAGTGATAACATCTTTACAAATCCAGTGATGCACGAAACAACTGCTCACTGCCCACCAACTGATGCTTAGTCACCAAACAGCAGCTGCCTTCCCAGTCAGCTCCACACAGGTTTTAATTTTTTTTTTTTTTGGTTTTTTTTTTTGCATGATATCAGATGTTGTGGAATGTCCCATTGTGCAGCTTAATTCAGCTGTCCTCATTCTGACGCTTCCCAGATCTTTGTGCCCCTCAGTGCACTTTACTGGCAGGGCAGGACAAGAAGTTCAAACATTTTCAGCTCTGTGTGGTTTAGTTGTGGCAACAACTAAAACAACAGAGTGTTATCAGCATTTTTTTTCTTCCAGAACTAAAACCCAGCATCATAACAGACACTATGAAGAAAATTAACTCATGATTTTTCTACACATGAATGAAAAGCTGAAATTCTTTGAATTCCTGTTAGAAGTATTAATTCTTTCTGCCCCCTGTCAATTGTAGTCACTGCCAGACAAGGCAATATATCACATCAGCAACACTCGGTTATTCTCCTTGAGAAATCTGATTTGAAGTTGTAACCCAGAATGAATTGTCTAAGACAATTTTGTTCCTGATCATTGCTTTTTCTGATTCAGGATAGACAGTTTTATTACACTGAAAAGTCAGAATCAGACTAATAAATGACTAATATTCCACATATTTTTCTTACTTGCTCTGTGGAGGTGGAAATTATATCACCACTAGGAAAATATTGATTCATAATAAATTACTTTGGAGAATACTTGCCTAAAATTCATTTGCTTGTGTACAGTACAAACATTGTTAGAAATGTTATCTACATTTTCCTATAAATAGGTTTGAGAAGGAGAGGCAACGATTCCTTGACAAGAAGCAATAATGCTATCTTTATTCATCTCCATGCTCAATCCATATCAAAGATGGAATTTAGATAATCAGCATTAGTGTAGGCAAGCTTAGCAGCAAGGAAAATAATAAGATACACTGTTTTTTAAATCAGATCCTGTAAAATGTCTCAAGACAAGAGCTCTGTTGCAAGTGGTAAAACGCTAAGTGGGAAATTTCTGGTGTTCTTATCTTAAACACATAGTGTGACAGTATTGTATCATGTCAGTGGTTATAAATTAATTATGAATGCCTGTACAGTGGCTGTCATTAGTTGAGTAACTCTAATACCATACAAATATTTTTGTCTTTTGCAATTATACGTAGGTAAGAACGTTAGACTTTTCATAAAACTTAACTCAGAATCAAAAGGAACGAGAACCTCAGCCTTCCATGACCCATTTGTGTTACCAGTCAACTTGCCTTCCAAGTTTTCAAATTGATATTTTGCCTAGACCTTTGGACAAACCAAAATTTTCTAGTGGGAAAACCATTTCAGGAAAGAATGAAAAGTCCTGATCAGTGCAGCTTCATTACCATTCCTACCCAATTAAAATATTATTCCTCTTCTTTACTGCACACTTCAGTATTTCTTGCATAAATGATACTTTTTTTTTTTTTTTTTTTTTTTTTTTTTTTGCAAAAAAATAAATAAATTCAGTTTTAACATTTTTTCCAGAAGGTGCATGACAGCACTCCCTCAGTGCTTATCAGTATTACTCTTTTTGAGAAACTGCATTTAATTATGTGAAATTTCTTCAGAACTCAAGAGAATTTGGTGTACTGCAGGCTAGAAAAGAAAGTAAAATATCTATAAAAGTTATTTATAAATGGCATTTGTAAAAATGATATAGCATGTTATTTTATATGGTGTTGCAATTTTAAAACCTTTATATTAATTTGTCATATACTGAATTAGAAATTTAAATAAAAGGGCAGCAGATAATTGTATTCCTTTACTATGAGGAACACTTGAACTAATTTAAAGTAATGAAGCAAATTATCTAAAACCATTTAGTCGAATATACTAGCAAGGGGTCAAACTCAGGGCAACACTATTTAAATCAAATTGAATTCTATCTTGAGAATGGATTCCAAATAGATTTTTAATTGCAGTATTTTGTCCGCAGGGCATTCTATCACATGCTTTTAATATGAAAGTACAATCCACCAAAATATCCTCCATCATAACGGTGCCAAGTCTCTTGTCATCATATGGTTTCTATGCTGTGATGTCTGCAAAAATGTTACTAGGCTTTTCATTTCTGCCTATTTTGCTCATAGATAATCTCTTGAGCCAAACTCTGGATAATTTACAGGATTGACTCATTACATTAAGCAGAAAAATGGGAGAAAAAAATAAAACGAAAGCATAACACAAACTAGGTTTGAGACTGGTGCAGATCCTGCAGGAAAAGGACTGACACACTCATGTGAAGGGTCCTGCCACTTCATTGCTCTCTGGAATACTTCTTAAGCATGGGAGATCTCAGGATACTCATTATCTTGGTGCTGTGAGAGTTTGGTGCACAGCACAGCAGTCTGGGATGGAAAGCATTTGCATCGGCAGTGGGGCTGCTCTGGAGAAACATGAAGGGAATACAAGCAGACACATCTTCAGGCTTCCGTTGTGCTTCTAGTAATAAACAATAGTGACTCCTCTTCTATTCATTAACTTCTATGTGGATTATAACTCCAGAAAGAAATGGAAAGTCCAGGTATACCCATAAGGACAAGAGAAAAGTTACTGTGTTTTGGATATACTTCTACTTTCCTCAAGTCTAAAGTCTCTCTTACAAATCTCTGGAGATCTAATCTCCTGAAAATAGGCTTTGAAGTACATCTGAAGAACATACTGTAAATGAAAAATAAATTTCCAATGGTAACTGTAAAAAATCTATTTTTAAAAAGGTAATACTTCACAAAAAAAAAAAAAAAGAAAAAAAAAGACGTAATATTCTTTAATGACAGTATCATATAATGCTTTCAAAAATACAGTTATAAATACACAGGAACAGAAACAATATCATATGCAAGTTTGTTGGGACTTACTCAACCAATACAAGGCTGAAGTTGATAGTTTCTTGGATCTCATCAGTAATGATGACAAGACATAGTGTCACTACTATGATCTGGAGTCATCAAGGCAGTCCATAGAGTGGCAACATGTGAATTAGTAGTCAAAGAAAAAATTAAAGACACATCTCTCAGTGAGTAAAGCGATGAGTACTGTCTTTTGGGATAGGAAAGGGGTGATCCTTCTTGATTTCCTGGAACCCATACAAACCATCAGTTCTGACCTCTACATCACAATGCTGACTAAGCTGAAAGCTCAAAGTTCCAGAATCACACCAGAGAAGACGACAGCCTTTCTCTTACAACACGGGTACCTTACAACACCTTACAATGTCAGGTTCCATAGGAGTTTGAAGACCGTGGAGCACATTGCCAGCCTTGGATGGACTGTCCTAACACACCCACCTCATAGACCAGAATTTGCACCTTCTGCCATCTGTTTGGATCTATCACAGATGGACAGCAAAGGCAACAGTTTCATAGTGTGGATGCCGTCATAACTTTTCATAAGTTGTGAAAAAGTGGGTCATCTCCAGTGATACAGATTTTTATGAGTGCTGCGTACAGGCTCTTGCTCATCACTGGTAAAAATTCATAGGTAGTGGTGGTGACCATGTAGAAAAATTGTGTTTTGTAGCTATCGAATAGTGTATTGTGTTCTTTTGTATCTGTTGTAATTTCCATGGAAATAAATAGGAGGCATTACTTCCAGTTACAAAAAGTGGAGCAAAAATAGAGTAAAATAATACAGACGAGGACTTTTAAATTCATCCTGGTTGGCTGGAATCTACCAGTAAAAGAGTCTTCTGACACTTTGCAGTGGTGCAGCTCCTCACAGAGACAGCAGTAATGGCAGGGCATTTGAGAATGACATTTTTGATTATATTTTTTGGAACTGTGTGTGATTCAATGTTTACCAAGATGGAGACATTCAGCTCCAGTGCAAAGCTGGTTGTGGCAGATCAGCTACTATTTCTCAGAATGAAGAAATGAGCATGTTGTAGAAATAGAAGATATCAAAAAATAAACAAAACCGGTGTGAAAGCCATCAAATAAGGAAAATTAGGATTACACACACACAAAAAAAATTATGTTTATTATGTTTATTATTATTTTGTTTTTATTTAAATTTGGAAAAAATAAAAGATAATTATCTTTCCTGAAACATTGCCATTAAGGGGAAAAAAGAATCCTTTACTTGCTCAATCTAGCCTGGCTACACAAATCATCTGAATCATTGAGGTTTAAAGCATTTAGATGTGCTGCTTCATAAATGATTGCTAAACCAAAGTTCAGTCAAGTAAATGAGGCTCCTTTCAGCTGAAGCTCCTTGGATAATGGGTCAAACCCCTCCATGCTTTTCAGATTGTGCATTCATCCCCAAATTAATTTCATATTGAGAGTATTCATTTTAAATCAATAATATGATTGTTACAAAATTGAATTAATATTTATATATTAAACTCATGTTATTTGCTTGACAGACTTGAATCAAAGGAACCTTTTCTGTCTGTTGGGTAAGTAGGAATATGGTTATTTCTATAGAATGTTGTTACTTATATATTCAACTATTATACATTATAATGTATGGGATAATACTGAGCATAAACACCTCTTATCAACATTTCAGTTGTTTGCTATACCTAAGCTTATGAAAAGTAGATATCAATCTATAAAGACAGCAGCTGTAGGTATCTTTCTTCCAAAACAATTACTAGAATGTATGTTTTGATTCTACTGACTAAATATATGTGTATATATATACATATATATATTTAAAAAACATTTAAGAATTTAACATTGTAGCAAAAATTAGCTGTTTTATTATTTTGTTTTCATTGTTTTGATTCTGCAGTCATATATTCTCTATACCACTTGTCTAAGCCGATGACTGAAGAATTGGTAGTTTGTTTTAAAATAAAGTTTTAGTGGTAACTTGGTAACAGAAAGAAAACATCAAATTTGTAAATTAGAAAAATATGTTTTAGCCTTATTATAGGTGACATTTACAGTGATATACCTATTACAGCTATTGTCTTCATAGGCACATAACCGTGAGAACAGTTACTTAGTCTCTGTTAAAATTATTATCTTATCCTTCTAAAAGTTTACTTTTAAAAGTGATGCATTTTGAAAAAAAAATCATTATTTTACAAAATTTATTCCTGATACGTATATGTATATATGTGTGTGTGATAGGTATCTGTGTTTTACTTCTGAGTATAAAGTTCACTTCCTATTTTTTGTTTAGCTTTCTTCTTATAAAACTTTCCTCACTTTCTCATTCTCACTCTAACATTCTCATTCCCACTTCATTTTTCTTCACAACTGTATACACTTTTTTTCTCGCCATTCTCATTTTTCCTCATTCACAAGTCCATGTATTTCATGCTACCAAAAACGTAAACTGCAGATAAAATATGCCAGTGCAAAATAGCCATGTAAAGGTTAATTCTACCAAATAACTATCAGTAGCTTCCAAGTTACTGTATTAACTACAGATGTAAAACTACTTCAGGTTCTGAAGTGTGAATTAAAAACAGCAAGCAAAGTTTATCAGTTAAGAGCATAGAAACTCAACAAATCAGTGTGAGCAAGATTGGGATATGCTTCAGATTTTTTAGCACAAAGTAACTTTGGCTTCTTTGAATACATTTTAATTTAATTAATTACCTTCTTTCTACCAGAAAAAAAAAATTGTTGAATAATAAGTGAAATGTTCATCAAATGGAGGAGCACAAGAAAGTGGGAACCAAGGAGGTGGTCTTGGTTTGTGTGCTTTGGAATGTCCAAATTTGTTACCAGATTTAATCATTTTCATTATTACTTCCTATTATTCCACTTTGTAACTTTCATACTCTCGTAATGATTACAAGAAAACCTCAACTTTAAGATTATTATTATTTAAAAAAAAAAAAAAAAGTTTCATGTTGCTGTGGCTGAAGAGCAAATAAAATTGAAAAATAAATAAATAAATTCCAGGAAGCAAATAAAATGCAATGTCTGTGCCAGTAGTAGCAATTCATCTTAAACAGCAGTTATCATAAAATAATAAATTGTATGTTTGTAGCTCATGCCATGATTTGAAGAACTCTGCTTGCAATTTTAAGGCATATATGGATGAGAACCTAGGAGGAAAGGTTATCTTTTGTGTTTGGGTTCCTGTCCAGATGAGAGGAGTGGTGGCCATGATGTAAATGCACATTACCTCCCCATAGTCATTTTATGCAACTTTATTGACAATCTGAACTCCTTTGAGGAAGTCTAACTTGAATAAATATATTTATCTTCTTCCCAGAACCTTCCAGATGTTTGTCTGTAATGCACTTCAATTATTTTTTCAAGTTCATAGTGATAATGATTGAAAAAGCAAAAATTGGACACCACCTCTTTCCTAATTTTGTCTTTACTGCTACATTTCATCCACCTCAAATAAGGTTTTTTCTTTTTTTGAAAGAAGCAAGAGCATTGTGCTCTGAGGAGGGGACTAAGCAAACATCCACCTCCTTTGTATTGAGAGAGATGTTCCTCCTGGTCCCATAGTAATGTGGGGATTCATCGCTTCAGGGGACCAGCTCTCATGCTGAGATGTATCCGAGGTTTTAACCAGACTGATAGTTGCAACAATCTATCCTTTAAGATAGGCTGTTTGCAAAAAAAAATACTGACTGAGGCTTGGTTAGACTAACACCAGTGCCCTCAGCACCTCTTGAAGCCAGAATTGGTAAAAGCCACAGCTTGTATTACTTTTGGTTCCTACAGATAACTTGGTCCTGCAGGGAAGCCTTTAGTTTATTTCCCTTCTGCAAGAGAGATTTATATCCACATTTTCATTATACTGCCTATAGGAGCTAATTATCCTTTTTCATTTTGCCATGTTGAAAATAATGGCTTTCTGATGTTTCTATTGTTAATTCTTTAGGTAGAGGAAGGGAACATGAAGTGGGAGAGCCAAAGAGCTTGAGCCTGTCACGCTTTGCATGAGCACTCAATGTGTGTACTGGGCTACAACTTTCCAGAAAGAGATCCCACAATGCAAAAGTGATTCTTAAAATAACACATTGCTTATTCTCTCTCAGAAAGCAGACAGTAAGTGACACAAGCAGACCTCACCTCTCACTGTTGTGGTTTGTCTCTCAAATGCTGGGAGACAACATCTCCTGTACTCCCTCAGTAAAGGAAATTGCATTTATTTTTCTTTTTATGCAAAAAGATATAGCAGGGTATTTTGTTAACGTGGCAAGGTTGTGTTGGTGGGGGGGCTGCAAGGGTGGTCTCCATGAAAAGCCCTCAGTGCTCCATGTCAGATCAGAGACAACTCCTGCTGCTCCAAAAGAGACCCAGCACTGCCAGAGCAGAGCCATGAGTGATGCTGGGTGTGCCCTGGGAGAATAAATTCAGGAAAGGGAAAAACTGCTGCACAACAGCAGCTAGGAGAGAGGAGTGAGAAATGTGAGAGAACAGTCCTACATGCAACAAGGTCAGTGTAGAAGGAGGTCAGAAGGTGCTCCAGGTCCAGAACAGGAACTCCCACAGCCCAGGAGAGGCCCATGGAGGAGCAGGCTGTCTTTCTGCAACCTACAGGTACCAAGTGGAGCAGATCTCCATATGCAGCCATGGAGGAGCCCACAGGCAGCAGCAGAAGTGGCTGAAGGAGCTGCAGCCTATGGATATCCCCACAGAAGCAGCTCTAGGCCAGAGCTGTAGCCCATGGAAACAGTCCATGGTGGGGCAGGAGGGCTGGAAGAACTGTACCTGTGGGAACAGTGCTCTCCTGAAGAATGCACCCCATGGTGTGGAGCTGTGCTGGAGCGGTGCTGGGACAGCTGTAGTCTGTGGGAAGGGCACATGGTATCAGTTTGGAAAGGATGGCATCTGTGGGAGGGACTGCACATGGAGCAGAGGCAGAGAGTGATCATGAGGAAGCAGCAGAGATTAACTGAACCACAACCACAATTTCCCATTCCCCTGCTCCACTCAGGGGATGGGAAGAAAGATGTTCTGGGTTTGTTTTTAGTTCTCACTCCTTTAGACTGCTGGTAGTTGACATTAAATTACAATATTCTCCATACATGAATTTGTTTTACCTGTGACAGTAACTGTTAAAGAATCTCGCTTATCTCAACATACCAGGGTTTAGTTTTCATCATATTTTCCCCTCTGTCCTTTTGAGGAGAGCAAGTGAAAGATCAGCATGGTGGAGCTTGGCTTCTTACAAATGTGAAACCACCACACCAATGCTCCATCATTCGCTATGCAAGAGATGGGCAGTAATGGCTGAGGTTGGCAGGGTCCTCAGAAGGAGCCATCCCCTCCTCCAGCAGGGATACTCAGAGCAGGAGGTTCAGGGCCATGTCCAGACTAGGCTTCTGAAGATCTCCAAGGAGGAGACTCCACAGCCCTTGAGCAAGCTGTGCCAGTGCAACGCAACCCATACTCACAAAATAACAATTTTTTAAATCAGTGGTTTGTAGTTAAATACAACTGTATGTAGATTTTAAAATAATATCTAGTCTTTGATTTAAAACATGCAGTTGTAAAATACAAAACAAAACAAAATCCAAAATGTAAGTTCTTCAAACTTTTAAAAACTGTTCATCCTCTTTCTCAGCGCCATTTAGTAGTATGTTGCATATTGTTGAATTCAGAAAAGACAAAGAGAGCAAGTAAGAAACAGAGCTGATTTTTCCTAGTCTAGCAAGAAGTTAGCTGCATCTACACCCGATGCAGAAATGGGATTACTTCTTGGTAAGCAAGCAATAGCTGTTCAGTGTAATGGGCTTTGAAAATACATGTGTTTTATGCATCTGACTGTCAGCTGAGATTCAATCTCTTTCTTTTGTGTACGTGTTTAAGAAAATACAATACAAACATCTGACTTTTTCTTTTATTTTCAAGATTGACTGGTTACCGTAAACATTATAAATTTAGGAGTAAAGCCTAGAGAGAGCTGTATCTGAAATTAACATGTTGTGTGCATTTTTTACATGATGAATAGTTGTCTGTCTTGTGAGAAAGAAGAAAGGTACAACTGGCACTAATTGCTGTATTTTTTGACATTCTCACTAAAGCCACTACAATTCTGAATGATCTACTGCCTTCTTCACAAAGATCCTGTTTCTAGACAGTATATGATTATAGAAAATACAGAATAGTCATGGGTTTGTATTTTCAAATCACAGCCTAATCAAAATATCATTTAAATCAGAAGTATTTCTAGAACAGTTGAAGGAATGTAGATGTGCTGAACTTTATGAAATACTTCCAAAATGCATGAGGAAAAATTCCTTAATTTTCTTCTTGCAGAATTATTCTGAGAAATATCTAACAGCTAGAATTTGTCTCCCATATTTTCTGTTTGAAGGTTTCTTTTCAATAAGGATGTTTTGCAGAAAACCTGTAGAAAGTCCTGAACACAGACATCTTTTTGAGGGATCTTATTCTTAAGAATTGACAATTAAAATTACATGCCTGGTTAAAACCAAATTCCCATTGTTGTGAATTAATCAATCCACTT